AACCATTAGCCAATCACCAACCAAGGTACCCCCCCCCCACACCTTATCACCTGAATCTCCTCCTAGAGCACCATTGTTTTCTTTTTAACCAAATCTCTCTCAGAGGGGTGTGGGGAGGGGCTCCTTATTTTCATCTGAAGTAACAGACAGAGAATCAGCACTTTGGAAACAGGGCTGAAACAGAGGGGATTATGGGTAATGCTGCCATGATCTGTTTGGTGTTTGGAGCCAAACACTTCAGAGACATGTTTTGTATATATCTGAGACCTGATGAAAACAGTATAATAGGGGACCTTTAAGGTAATTGTATGTTTCCATATTGGAGGAGCCAGAGACTCTAAGCTATGAGAAAAAAAGCCTTTGAATCCTTTAAAAACCCTTTAAGTGATTATTTAATTTCTGCTTCAGGAGGACCAGAGTCGCCAGTTCCTTGTCTCTAGTCCCACAAACGGCTTTGAATCTGAGCAGGAGGGCTTTGTGGCGAAGAACCCGTACGACGCTCACTACGGAGACACACACTTCTACACGTACACAGAGGACTGCTTGGACTGGAGGACTTTCCCTCGGACGCGTTTCGCCTCTGAGTACGGCTACCAGTCCTGGCCCTCCTTCTCCACGCTGCAGCCGGTGACTGGAGAACCTAATATTTAGCTTTTCTTCTTGGTTGTTTTATCAGTAGATTGGTATCTAAAATATGAGGCATAATGAAAAAAGAACGGAGAAATAGTAGAATTAAGTGTAAATAACTGATTTTTTTTATCTGAGATTACATTTACTGGAAAAAGACCCTGTTTTTGTGAATATCACTGTAGTTGTGATGAGATTTATGTAATATTTATCTAACACTTGAGTTTTTTTCTTGTAAAAGCTACTAATTTAAAAGCAGAGACTATCCTCATTTCTATTTTTGTAAAACGTATGAATACATGTTTTCCTCAGAGATAGTACCCGTCCCTTATTACGGGGATCTGGTGTGGGGATTTCATGTTTTAAAGGTGTCTTTCGTGTTCTATAATTTGGGTCAGTGGTGGAATTTTGTTAGCCCCATAGGGCCATTTTTAAGGGTGGGGCGTAACACCATTATTACCCAGTGAAGGGGAATTTCTAAACAGAATTTCTTTTACCTTTTCATCACTTCAGCATTTTAAGTGTTTTAAATTTTTACATCGTCTAAAGTTTCCCTCTGTTTTACGATGTTTTTTCTTAGGTTTCTATAGAAGAAGACTGGAGCTACAACAGTCCTTTCTTCGAGCACCGTCAGCACCATGACAGTGGGAACCAGCAGATGTTGCTGCAGGCGTCTTTACACTTCAACCTGCCCAATGCCGCTGACCCCCACAGACACTTCACAGATACTCTCTACATCACTCAGGTACATCACACAGACCTCCCAACGTTTGATAAACAGGTTTAAGAAGTATTTAGATCCTTCACTAGAAATCCTTTTATCTCAAAATAGTCCAGTACAATTCCTGAATTCCCAATGTGACTTAAAGGTCCCCTATTATACTGTTTTTCATCAATATATTATAGGTCTCAGATATATACAAAACATGTCTCTGAAGTGTTTTGCTCCAAACACCAAACAGATCATTGCAGCATTACCCATAATCCTCTCTGTTTCAGCCCTGTTTCAAAAGTGCTGATTCTCTGTCTGTTACTTTAGATGAAAATAAGGAGCCCCTCCCCACGCCCCTCTGATGCCCCTTTCACACCAACGCGTTTTCAGCTCCGGCTCGGAGCTGGAGCCTGAGAGGTACCGGTTTTTCCTGTTCAGCGCCGCCGCCTCTTAGCTCCGGAATCCGGTTCACTTCCAGCTCCAAAAAATTGTCGGTCTAGTCTAGAGGCAAGAGCTTCGGAGCTAAGAGGCGGCGTAGCGTACGTCGAGGCGTGCAGGAAACTAAACCCACCTCCCCTGAACATGGGTCGACTGAAGAGTCTCGTCATGCCTGCCTACAAGCAGTAGTGCTGAGCAAAGTGACTACAAGGCAACCACACACTTAAAAAAAAACACACTTTATAAAGTCAGGCAACACTAACCAGGCTTCGAGTGATTCTGTTTATTTGCACCTTACTTTGACCATCCGTTCACTGTTATTGATCATTGTGGAGAGAGGCAGACGTTTTGTTTTGTATTATAGCAGCTATCGGATGGAATCAGTACATGGGCTGATTGGCTAATGGTTACACAAGCCAAAAGATCGTTATGACATCATAAAGTGGCCAAAATCTGATCAGCTCATTTTCAGACAGGTTTTTATAGAAATGGATCAGGACCAAAAGAGAGAGAATCTTTTTTCCTGAAACTTCCAGAGTCTCTTTCCACAGAGGGGACACATGTTGATGTAGAAGAGACATGAAGAAGTGGATTTTGCATAATAGGTGACCTTTAAGTAGAAGTAAAGTAAGTACACTTTTCCATGTTTATACTTTGTCACTGTCCACCACTGCTGATAAACAGATCATTTTAAAAGTGTTTGATGTAGGTTTGATCGTGTTTCTTGTCCAGGTGATGCAGGCTCAGTGTGTGAAGGCGCAGACGGAGTTTTATCGGAGAAGTCGGAGCGAGATCCTTGAGGGCAAAGGAGGCACGATGGGCGCTCTCTACTGGCAGCTCAACGACGTCTGGCAGGCGCCTTCGTGGTCGTCCATCGGTGAGTGAATCCGCACTAAGCAGCAAACTTATAATAGTTTTAAATGTTAGGAAGCTCTCAGCGTGCTTATTTTATATCGCTCTACAATCGCTCTCAAGTTTCATACTGTTAACCTTTCATATTTGAATATTTTGCACATTTATGCACCATACTACTAATTGTGAAATGGCACTGATCTTTCAATTTTTTATTAAATTGAACCGTACATTTCTTTTCACAGTCATTTGTATTGTTTTAGTTTTAATTTCCTGTTTTTTTTTAACCGGGCAATATCTTTTCATTTGAGTTTTTCTTAAAGGATATAATTTTTTATTTATTTTAGTGTATTCAAATATTTTTCCCATCCCATTTTCACTCTAGTATACAATAAAAGCCAATGCACACGTTTTTGATGGCACCTTGTTATTCATTTATATTTTTGAAGTTATTCATAATTTGGGCAAAAATGTGATAATAAAAATCTACTTCTTATAAAAAATATTAATATAATTGGTGATGAGCATTGCTAATCCTTAATTTGATTAGACATGGTTGTGTCAAAATATTTCATTTGAGGTAAATACGATTGTTATATATTAAAATATTGGATGTATTTGAAAAAGCAGTTTTAAAAAAAAGCTGTGTGTGCAGAGTTTGGTGGGAAGTGGAAGATGCTGCATTATTTTGCACAGAACTTCTTCTCCGCCCTCCTGCCGGTCAGCTTCGAGGACGAAGGCATGCTGTTCATCTACGCCGTCTCCGACCTGAGTCACGACCTGAAGCTCAGCGCTGTGGTACGTTTCTTATTTAAACTCTGTCTTCACATTGCATTTACAACAACTGAACATGTATTCAGTGACACGAAACCACTTCTAAGCTAATTGTTTTATCTATTCACAAAGGGTCAATAATGAGGGTTTAAAATCTAACTTAGTTCAAATATTTCAAAGCATGGCAACATGAAAAAAATATGCAATTCAAGAAACTGTAATTCTTCCCAATCAGAAACAGGTTTATTACCAGGTAGGTTTACACGTACAAGGAATTTGACTTGGTGTCATGGAGCATACATACAAATGTAAAACAAGAATTAAAAACAGGTAGAGAACTATAAAAAATAATAAAAAATATATAACAGTATTGCAAACAATCTCTACTTGTGAAAAAGTGTCATCTATCGATTGTCTTGTCTCTCAGGTGTCGGCGTACGACTGGTCTGCTCTGGATCCGGTCTGCACGCGGAGGTCCGACTCGCTCCTGATCCCCGGAGGAAGTGCGGCGGCTATTTTTAAGCAGCGAGTGGACCCCCTGCTGGCCGGGTGCGGGCGCTGCAGCCGCCTCACCTGCCTGCTGGCCTTCCACCTGGAGGACAGCAGCGGGCAGCGCGGACCCACAAACCATCACTTCCTGAGCTCCCCTAAAGATGCTCAGGGGCTCCAGAGACCCAACATCACCGTAAGTCTCCCTGCGACCTGGATTTTTTGTATTCACTAATTCCCAGATTAGAAATAGTACAATATCTAAGGATTCATTTCTTATCTTTTAATCACTCTGTGATTCCATTTGTGTGAAAAATCACTATCACAAAATGTCATTAGGAAGACAGAAAAAATATATAAAATGCTTATTGTAATTACTGACTTTTTCTCCGAGTTTAAAGATACATTTTTTTAAGCTTTGGTCACTTTGTGAGCTTGTGCAATTTTTTTTCCCACGACATCTATTTGCTGACTATGGAAAATCAAATATACGTGGTATCTCACTTTTTTTACAGAAGTGATAATTATAACTCTTTTCAAGCTGGGTGCACAAAGTGATTTGAACATTTCTTAAATATGTAGCATTCAAAAAGACAAAACTATCACAAAAAGAGCAACTCAAAATAAATTGCAAATAGCCAGAACACAGATAAAGAGCTGAATAAAACGTACTTTCATTAAGTTTTCCAAAAGTAAAGCATTTGAAACTTAAAAATACACCTACAATTAGTTTTTTTCAACACAGAGCTATACTGTGTACAAAAGCAAGACCAGTTGTCAGACACAAAGGCAAAATGTGCAGTTTTGCGAGTAATTTTAAAAGCCATTTCTACTGATAACATCAGTCTCATGCTGTTATAAACTCCTTTTGTGTGTGTCCTTGCAGGCCTCAGTGCAGGAGGATAAAAGCCTCCTCACCGTCACGCTCCACTCCTCCGCTGTAGCTCCCTTCGTGTGGCTCGATGTCGGAAACATCCCGGGACGCTTCTCCTCTAACGGCTTCCTGATGCTCTCTGCAAACACCACGGTCAGTTTTAACGCCTGGCGCCCGACCAGCGCTGCAGAACTCTCCAAAGCGCTCACCATCACTTCTTTAGCGGACGTTTACTGACCTGAGAGCAGCAAACAGACGTGAGGAGGTGAACAGAGGAGACTTGTTTTTAAAAGTTTCTTAAAAACATACCATGAACAAAGTTTTAAAAATATATTTGTATCGATGAGAAATGTGTCGTTTATAGAATTTGTCGACAACACGTAGTCTGAATTGGGTTATATCTCATACAGGGTGTTGTGTCCTGAAAACGGTTGTATTATTGCGTGTTTCCCATCTCTCAGAATAACAGAATGAAATGAAAAGAAATGACTTATTTGATATACCGGTATTGACAATAGTCGTTTTGTTTATAAGATGAGATGTTTATATTTTGATAATTTTATACATTGGATTTATTGTATAAAAAATCAAGTGATGTTAATAATAAATATGTACATATTTGTGCAGTAATGGTTACAGACTCTCGTATATTAAGTGTAATGTATTTGCCAAAAAAGAGACAAATGCACAATAAAATGTAAAAATGAGAATTTGAATATAACTTTAACTGTATTTTATTTCTTCTAAATGGGTTTTCTTGGCCAACCTTGCTTGACTTTTTTGCACACTATATTTCGTAATTTGAATTGGCCACTTAAGTTTGTACATTTAAATTTGTACCGTTTGGCTGGCTTGCGTACTGGTGTAAAAACAAAAAAGGCCATGTTGTCTTACTCGTCCGGTTTGTAAAATATTAAGTTATAGTACTAATAAAAATCGTAGTTATAATAGGATCTGATTTATACAATTGAACCCTCCTGTTATCCTCAGATTGACTTTACACCCTTTATCCTCCAATAGTTTAAAACTCAAGACAATGATCATATTCCAAATCTTAACCAACATGTATGTCTCTGGTGCTTTAGGTATCTTAGTTGACTACCTAAATAACCATTTAAATAAAACATTACCCCAACCTTCCCCCCCACAGACCCCTTAATACATCCAGAATTCCTATTATGTGACTATCGAAAAATATATAAATCACCATAAAATCTCACTGACTGAAATAAAATGTTAAAGTTAGATCTTTTTGATGTTGTTAAAGGACCAATAACTAAAGCAGAGGGTCGTTTTTTGACGATACATTTGCATGTAATAGTCACCTCAATATCATCCTACACAATCAACACAAATATGTGTAAAATATTGAAATTTTTATATGTTTTATACTACTAAAACAGCCTGGGGTCAAATTGAACACAAAGTGCATACAGGACATTTAAAAAAGATCTTCATGTTCATTTTATGTTTACCCATTAGTCCTCACTAAATTAGGAAAAGTCCTGAAATACTAAGCAAAACAAATAATGTGAACCATTTTTTTTTTAGATACGTTGAACATTGAATGGGGTCAAATTGACCCCAAGATAACAGGAGGGAACCCACTGTTTCTCAAAATGTTATCTAAGGTATACTCCCTTAAAACCACAACACATGTTTGAAAGTTTAAAACTTACATTACTTAATAGGGCGTGGTTTAGAAACAACAACCTTCAATCTGAATACACAAAAAATGTAGACTAATTGCTACATTTTAAATGTGTAAAATCCATCAGTAAATTCATGGTTAACCAAATGTTTGCGATTGAATAAAGTAAACCGTGCTCTCTACTTCTAATCCCAGTTCTATTTTTATTTTGCAGCTCTCTCGTGCAGTAACCATGATCTGCCTCCAGGGGGCGACACTGGCCTTTAATACATAGCTTTAATACCACCCTTATGTCTCGTGTTTATACTTTTTTTTTTCTTTCCAGCTGTTTCATAATTGAACTAACGGATTCAAAGCTGTACACTGAGTCACAGCCGTGTGTACTCTGCATGTCTCCTCCCAATTAACACTGTTGTGTTACCCTCTGCACACACACACACACACACACGCACGCACGCACGCACACACACACACACACACACACAAAACTACTTCCAAGCATGAGTGTGTGTGTGTGTGTGAGCACGTTGCATATCAAGTGAGAAAGTGAGCCACAAAAGAAGGCATTATGTGTGCACGCGGTCGGTCACCTCCATGTTTTTTCTGCATGGCTGTGCACACTGATCTTTGAACCTGATCTCTGATAAATCCCTCCGCGCACATCAGAGGAACTGCTTATCCTAAAATAATTTAATCAGCGAGCAGGAAACTTAAAGGAGGAACCCTTTAAATTCCGCCTCAGTGCCATGGATCTGTGGACCTCTGTTGGGACATCCTGACTGAGTAAAGGCAGCAGAAGGACTAGTTTTTTTACCTCAAGAAAACCCCTACAAACACAGAGATGTTTACTTTAAAATGTTTTATCACGTGCATTTTGGTTTTTATACCGACGTGTCTCAGTAAAAAAGCTGTTGGCCGGGATGGGAAGGTATTTCTGGAGAATATTTTACGGTATTATGGACAAAATAATTCAATTTCAACGGAAAATCTGGAGAATCTACTGCTGCTAATCTCAGACAGAAGAGCTGAGTTGATAACTGAAGGAAACCCGCTGGCAGGCGAAGAGGTGAGCACAGAAACTATTTACATTTTATAAACTAATTAATGATCATTTACTAGAGTGCAGGGGATTTAAACGTGCTTGTCATGTGTTTGTTATGGTTTAAAACGTTCAACATATTGATGGAACAAACTATACTAAACTTTATTAAAGTTATTACATTGTTACGTAATAATATAAAAGGGAAGTTTTTATGCTACAGATTGCTCAACAATTATAACAAAAATAGGAAGTATGCATATGAAAGAAAAGAGATGCAAGACACAGAAACATTCAAAAACAAATCAGGAAGGATTTTAGAGACAAAAGGAGAAAACAATAAAATTATGTACACAGGCTTCCAAAACTAAATCCAGTCGAAGCTTAATCTATAATGCACTTACAAAAACATGAACAAACAGTATACCACATTACTCGAGTGCAGTTTTTAAATAATAATGAATAAATAATGTAAACGTGATGTTAACAAACACAAACTCCATTAACTGTGTGGATAATTATATTTTTTATTTTTTATTCAACCTTTATTTAACCAGATAAAAAGCATTGAGATAAAACCTCATTTACAATGCGGACCTGGCCAAGAAGGAAGCCACTTTTACACATTATTACACATAACACAGGCATATAAAATACAGAGAACACAATTAATGACAGATGACTGGAAGGGCTAACTAGATCATAGGAAGTTAGTGGGTGCAGTACTACTTGATTTTAGTTCTGCTTTTGATGTCATTGACCATTCTTTGTTGTTACACAACCTGGAACAATATGGTTTTAATTTTTAAACGCTGAGGTGGTTAGAAAGTTACCTGACAAATCGAAGTCAAACTGTTTTTTTTAATGGAAGTCTCTCAAAGATGAAAACAGTCACTTGTGGAGTACCTCAGGGTAGTTGTTTGGGACCACTTTCTATTTTTACAAATGACCTACCATTAGTGTTAGAAAAAGCTAAAATTGTAATGTATGCAGATGACTCAACAATATATTATGCAGCATCAACTACAAGAGAGTTGACAAATGTTATGAATAAAGATCTACTACTGATATCAGAGTGGGTCATAAATAATAAGTTGGTACTTAGTGCGGGAAAAACAACATCGTTATTAATAGGATCAAATCATCAGTTAAAAGGTGAACCAAAATTGCAACTACATTTAAACCATATTGAAATTGAACAGGTCAAGGAGACAAAATTGCTAGGTATAACCCTGGATCATAAATTATCTTGGTCTAAACAAATTGATAATGTTGTATGTAAAATGGGAAGGGGTGTGTCACTTGTAAAAATAATTGTAAAATATTTGCCTATGGATGTCAGTAGACAAGTTTTGGATGCTTTGGTTCTGTCGCAGCTTGATTATTGTTTGGTTATATGGTCTAGTGCTGCTGAAAAAGATTTAAACATCTACAAGTAGCACAAAATAAGGCAGCACGATGTGCACTGCAGTGCTCCTACAGAACCAGAGTCACTGAAATGCTGGAGACATTGAAATGGTTAACTGTCAGTCAACTTATATTTTATTACATTTTGTCAGAAATATTACAGGGACTCACTCACCAGATATATTATCACAAAGGTTTATAGCGCAATATGCACAACATAACTATCAAACACGACATACAATAGAAGGAAGGTTTGTATTACCCAAATCTAAATCAAATATGGGAGAGAAAACAGTCATGTACAGAGCCATGGTCAGCTGGAACTCTTTACCGGTTCACATCATTCAGGAAAATTCTCAAGTACATTTCAAAAGGTTGCTAAAAAAATATTTAAGTATTATAAAGTACATTTGAACTGTGGCTATGTATGCATATATTATTATGTAAACTTATTTGTATTTACTTTTGTTTGGCCTTAGGATGGCGATAATTGGATGACCATTTTAGTTTTCACTTCATACAGCACTGTAAATTGCATGAAATTATGAGCTGTTTTGTTTTGTTTTAATTTTGTTGTATGTATGTTTATGTATGTTTTGAGTGTATGAGGACCCCAGGAAGAATAGCCAATGCTCATGCTAGTGCTAATGGGGATCCTAATAAAGACATAAAGAAATAAAGTAAACCAAAAGACGAAAAGCAGTCACTACATTGTGCACATTTGGGACAGTAAGAAAGGTGCACTACTACTACTAAGAGCAGCTGGTGGAAAGGACTTCAGACAACTTCAATGTAAAACATGCTATTGAGACAAGTGCCCTCAGTTTTAGGCTAATAGAGAACAGCTGGCATCTACCATGAATAATCATTCTCAATATCAGAAATAAGAAGACTGATGCAAAACAAATGCACAATCAAATCGAAGCAGGAAGCGTTTAAAGAGATACTTAAAAATCATGATAGATTATGTTTAATGGGAAATGTTTGTTCACAATTTTTCTTCCACACTTACCCTCGCTAACATCTCAGTAAATGAGCTAGTTGATCATTTTAATGCAAATTAATTTAAATGTTATATGCTCCACTAATATGGCCAGGATCTGTTGAATTTTAGGAATATTGGGTTGCAAATTAACATTTCCAAAAGGGGGGTTCGTTTAGCATGAAACACTTGAAATAACTAAAGGATCAGTTAAAAAAGAAAGTAGAAAGAAAGTGAGGTCAAGAAAACTATTTCTGCTAAACAGTTAGCAATGATTGAGAGTCG